CCTTCACCGCTAAAGGGAACCCCCCTTGAGAAGGAGAGAATAAAGGGGAAGGGGGAGGAGGGTAAACTATAAGGGAGGGAAGAATGCAAAAGGTTTTTTTGGAAGTGAGGGAAGTTAGTTTAATGTTTTTTATGCGCCATACGACCCTGGGGTGGTAGTTAACAGATTATAAGGTACATAAGGGGCCCGGGGTTTGGACCAAAGTTTTGATAGTGAGCCAAATTAAGAGGTAATGAGCTCAAAAGTTACAAAGATAAGAACCCTGAAAGTAAATTTACTTCGTTTATCTGGCACAATCATGAACAAATTTTATGAGAATAAAGCCATCACACGCCACAATGGGGGAAGGTGTGTAAAAAAAGCTAACTGGCAGCGCTGATCCGCAAAAATGTCCTCCATCTGCAACCCAGCTATGCCCAGTCTGCGCCACTGCAGTCTAACTACGAGAATGCAGCCCGAATCTGCACATCACGTGAAAGGTCTAAAAAAAAAAGGGCTGTGAAAATATTTATATGTTTTCATTTTTTTTAAAAAAAAAAGAAGCGTAAGCAATCATTTTACTTAAAATGGTTAACTCGTTGGGTCTGGGGGCACTACGTTGAAAGGGTGCTTTCGGTTAATGTTTCGGTTAAAGAGTTCGAGTGGGGGGGGGTTTTAGTGTGGTAGGAAATGCGAGACTTTTAAGTGGTAAAAGCAGAGAACCGCAGCTCTGAGAATTTTTCCAAAACATTAAGATTTGATTTTGCCCCGAAGGGCTAGTTTATTTGCCCCTTCCACCCTGGGGACGGTAGGAAGGCTATGGATACAAAAAGGCCAGGAAACTACCCCCAAAGGGTTAACTGAATAAAAATTTGGTTTATATTACTATTACAGTTCATTTTTTCTGTTCAAGCAAATTTAGGAATTTGTTGTTTATCTGGTTTTATTTTTTTTTAATAAGATTTTTGAATGTCCATGGTTATTATACTGTCTGTCTCTGTATTCTTCAATCCAGGGACCCAGCAAAAGACTACAACCTTCTTAACTACTGACCCAACCCTTGTGGGTGACCTACTTCTACTGGGGAATCCCACCTGTTACTGACAATAACTTCGTCTGCTTCACCAAGTATCTTTGGCAGGTTAAATCATCACCACCAGATGTAGACCAAACGAATGTAAACTTTGCCAGATGGACTATTGTCACACACTGCGTCATTATGTACTGGAGTGCGTCACACCCTGCGTCATTATGTACTGGAGTGCGTCACATCCTGCGTCATTATGTACTGGAGTGCGTCACACCCTGCGTCATTATGTACTGGAGTGCGTCACACCCTGCGTCAATATGTACTGGAGTGCATCACACCCTGCGTCATTATGTACTGGAGTGCATCACACCCTGCGTCATTATGTACTGGAGTGCATCACACCCTGCGTCAATATGTACTGGAGTGCATCACACCCTGCGTCATTATGTACTGGAGTACGATAAAATTAATGAATTTAGAGACAACTCACTCAGAAATATTCAAGAAATGACAAAGTATTTTATCCACAGTGGTATATTACAGAGCATTCTGGAGAAATACCCTGACTTTGCTAGTTGTAAATAATGCATTACCACGTGTGTGTGTGGGGGGGTGTACGTGCTTGTGTGTATTCATATATTTGTACGCTCGTGTGCATATGTCTGTCCGTGCGCCCTCGTGTATGTGTGTATGTGCGCGCGCGCGCGCTCGTGTGGGTGTATGACCCACTTAATATTTGTATTTATAACTCATTACAATTGTGACCAGGTGTGGACGTATCAGTGGCTCATTACTTTGTAATTTGCTCATGACTGTAACCATGTATAGGAGTGAAGCTGATTCATTACCTCTGTAACTTGCCATGATTGTGACCAGATCTACCTGGAGTTCATTACCTTTGTAACTAGTTCGGCTATCATAACTTTGGGGTCCAGTCACTGGACCCATTATGTACCTTTGTAATCTTTTGACTACCACCCACAGGATGGGTATGGGGTACATAATAAAGATATTAAACTGAACTGCTTCACCTCCCTCACCTGGCGCCAGTATTTAAGAGCCACTCTCAATACCTGTGCTTCAGATTCTTCGAGACTACGGTACTCTTCACCAACTCCAAGGCTGAGGGACTGATTACCTCGTCCTGCGGCCTATTAGGCAACGCTCTCGCCTCATACACAGTGTCCGTGGTTCGATCCCCGGCAAGGGTGGAAACATTTGACATATTTCCTTACACTTGTTGTCCCGTTCACCTAGCAAGCAAGTAGGTACCTGGGTGTTAGTCGACTGGTGTGGATCGCATCCTGGAGGACAAGATTGAGGATCACAATGGAAAGAAGACAGACAGTCCTTGATGACCCACTGACTTTCCTGGCTATCCTGGGGTGGCTAACCCTCCGGGGTTAAAAATCCTAAAATTTGATCTTGTCTTTTGTATATAGCTTTATAGTCTTCTCATTATGTCCTTGAATTTGTATTGATACAGCCACTGGAGGGCGAAACGTCTACGTCTGGTATTGTATACCATTCACGTAGGAAACCACTAGGCTCGATAGTGCGCTGTGCAAGCGAAAACTTGTGTGGATAGTTTCCTGTTATTGTTTCTTGTGTTTACCATGCACAATACTTGCTGCTGTTGTGACTGCTGATGGAAACGCAGCACCACCATTTTTTTTAGAAAAAGGCATACGACAGGGAGGCAAATGCCTTAGTGTCGAACGACTCTTGATCCAAAGAATTAAAGTTATCCTTCCCTTTCTTAGATGAAACGTGATTATATACATGATTATATACACCTGGAAAATCCTAGAGGGATTAGTACCAAACTTTCACACGAAAATCACTCCCTATGAAAGTAATAGACTCGGCAGATGATGCAACATTCCCCCAATGAAAAGCAGGGGCGCCACTAGCACGATAAGACAACCCAGTGTCAGGGGCCCAAGACTGTTTGACTGCCTCCCAGTGTACATAAGGGGGATTACCAATAGACCCCTGGCTGTTTTCAAGCAGGCACTGGACAGGCACCTAAAGTCAGTACCTGACCCGCCGGGGTGTTCGTTCGTTGGATTACGTGTGGCCAGCAGTAACAGCCTGGCTAATCAGGCCCTGATCCACCATGAGACCTGGTCAGAGACCGGGCCGCGGGGGTGTTGAATCCCGGAACTCTCTCCAGGTATACCCCAGCAGGACTTTCACCAGTACAACAGAATGATGGGCGGGCACATACATGCTACAGTGAATGATGGGCGGGCACATACATGCTACAGTGAATGATGGGCGGGCACATACATGCTACAGTGAATGATGGGCGGGCACATACATGCTACAGTGAATGATGGGCGGGCACATACATGCTACAGTGAATGATGGGCGGGCACATACATGCTACAGTGAATGATGGGCGGGCACATACATGCTACAGTGAATGATGGGCGGGCACATACATGCTACAGTGAATGATGGGCGGGCACATACATGCTACAGTGAATGATGGGCGGGCACATACATGCTACAGTGAATGATGGGCGGGCACATACATGCTACAGTGAATGATGGGCGGGCACATACATGCTACAGTGAATGATGGGCGGGCACATACATGCTACAGTGAATGATGGGCGGGCACATACATGCTACAGTGAATGATGAGCGGGCACATACATGCTACAGTGAATGATGGGCGGGCACATACATGCTACAGTGAATGATGGGCGGGCACATACATGCTACAGTGAATGATGGGCGGGCACATACATGCTACAGTGAATGATGGGCGGGCACATACATGCTACAGTGAATGATGGGCGGGCACATACATGCTACAGTGAATGATGGGCGGGCACATACATGCTACAGTGAATGATGGGCGGGCACATACATGCTACAGTGAATGATGGGCGGGCACATACATGCTACAGTGAATGATGGGCGGGCACATACATGCTACAGTGAATGATGGGCGGGCACATACATGCTACAGTGAATGATGGGCGGGCACATACATGCTACAGTGAATGATGGGCGGGCACATACATGCTACAGTGAATGATGGGCGGGCACATACATGCTACAGTGAATGATGGGCGGGCACATACATGCTACAGTGAATGATGGGCGGGCACATACATGCTACAGTGAATGATGGGCGGGCACATACATGCTACAGTGAATGATGGGCGGGCACATACATGCTACAGTGAATGACTTTAAACAAGTAGTTTACTGGGTAAAGTAAACCAGGTAAACAAGGTGTCGTGTTTTCTTTAACATAATTAAACAAAACTAGAATTCCAATTTTCTTAATGATTGTATATAATTACAAGAAATTATTCACTAGAAACTTGATTATTTATACAGCATCCCCAGTATATAACGTCCATGTGGTCGCTATGTACGGTATATATACTTTATATCTAAATTCCTGAAAACATATTATTATATAACTTCACTTCCCCATAAGTAATTAATAAAAATAAGAAAAATACACCGTGACTGAGCCAAGACACAAATAACCCGCACATAGGAGAGAGAATCTTACATCTCACTAGTTAATGTTGATAAATTAGACACATGTGCAACTCTTGGGTATCTTTATTGAGGAAACGTTTCGCCACACAGTGGCTTCATCAGTCCATACGTAGGAGAAACTTGAAGAACAGGAGGAGAATGAGGTAATCAGTCCCTCAACCTTGAGTCGATGTGTTCAGTCCATCAATCTTGAATAGGATACGGCATATGAGCGGAGAGCAGCTTATAAACCGTATGGCAGGAGAGGTGCAGCAGTCATAGGTGGTGTCACATTTGTTCAATGTGGAAGTAGGTCGTGCCCAAGAATTAGGCAAGCGAAGAATTCCTAAGTATTAAGATCCCAAGAAGTTGTAGTGTCTGACAGGTTTGTAGATGAATGGTTCAGAGAACCGACATGTTGATAAATTAGACACATGTGCAACTCTTGCACATGTGTCTAATTTATCAACATGTCGGTTCTCTGAACCATTCATCTACAAATCACTAGTTAATGTTCCAAGTCGGAGCAAAACGCCGTCGTAGTTATGTGCCGGTTATTTGTGTATTAATATAAATATATTTCTTCTATAAGAGGCACGAAACTTTTCCCCGTCTTCTAATAACATGTTTATTCTTCCACTATAATCTAACTTGTTCATAATTATCTCGCATTTGCTTTGTTTCGTAAAGTGAAGTCCAGGATCTTTCCTTGATTCATGGTATAACTTAAATATTTGATGACAGTTGTGTTGTAGAGGTCTGAGTCAAGCTCAGACAAAGCAAATGCGATAGTAATTATGGACAAGGTAGATTATAGGGGAAAATAAACAAGTTACTAGAAGACAGAGGAACTTAAGTGGCTCTTAAATGTGTGGGCAATAAAGTGAGCGTGATGTGGTCATCCTGTGATTTATTTTATGGGTTGTACCAGGTTTGAATCATTTATATGGAAGGACAAAACCAAATGTTCCTCCATGACCGGAACATTAGCGTAAGTGTGTTGTGATCATTCTGTGGACCTAATATAATAGCACCTTGACGATAATTACATCAAGGCTAGAGTAAAACATCAGAGCCTGGGTAATTCATCAAAGCCGGGGCAAAACATCAAAGCCGGGGCAAAACATCAAAGCCGGGGTAATATAAAGACAACATAACAAGCTTGTATTTCCGCATGATGCTTAAAGGTGATTGTTTCAAAGTATGTTATACTGATAAAGGTCACCTTTGAGCTAAGTCTTGTCTAGTAAAGGTTTGCTCCTTTATAAGTAATGTCTTTGTATACTACTTGTTGCCATATTATAAAGTCAACACCAGTTAATGTTACACAAGGTTGATCTAGTAGAGAGAGGCGGTGCTCCACCTGTGGCCTCTCCCCCCTCGCCTCCCTGAGAACCCTCGAGGACGTGTTTCAGTGGTACGGCCGCGGGTCGTCACTACCTCGGCGTCAGGATCAAAACTGGTGGTGAAGGCTGGGTGTTGTGGCAAGGCACGAGTGTTCCCACACACAGAGTTACCAACCTGAGTCATGCTTGTGTTGTTCACCTGTCCCAGGCGACCGCCGCCTCCCTGTTAAACACAAATGAGAAAACAAAAACCATAGTAGCATTAACACTTCATTAAATGAAATGATTATTATTATTATTATAATCAAAAAGAAGCGCTAAGCCACAAGGACTATACAGCGCTGCAGGGCAGGAAGGAAGCGAGGGCATCAGGTGGCAAAAGGGAGATGGATGAGTAATAGGTTACGGATAACAGCGGGGTAGTGGATGGTGAAAGGGTAAAGGGCAGCAAGAGACTGAACTAGAAAGGGCTGAGGGGAGTGCGAAAAGTATCATCAGAGTTTGTGGAGTAAATCAGTCGTTGTCAAGAAGTCAATGAGAGAGTCAGGATTAAAGGAGGGTCCATCAGCAAGAAGGGAAGGTAAAGAGAGAGTAGTAGAACGAAGACGACGTTGGAGGTAAATTCTGCGTGCTCGTTGATAGAGAGGGCAGTCTAACAGAATGTGGCTAATCGATACTGGAACTTGACACTGCTCACAGAGAGGAACAGGGTGCCTCTCCATGAGATACCCATGAGTAAGACGAGTGTGACCAATGCGAAGGCGGGAGAGAGTGGTCTCCCAACCTCGGCACTGATGACAAGAAGACGGCCAGGAAGTTTGTTACCGAGCAGAGTTGACCAACGTTGTTGCCAACGGGTGCGAAGGTGGGTAGCTATTGCAGCAAAATAGTCCAGAAATGGAGCACCTCGATAGGAAATCGGTAGGTCATGTACTTCTGACCGTGCAGCAGTGTCTGCCTGTTCATTGCCCTGTACGTCGACATGACCAGGGACCCAACAAAAAACAATATCTTTATGTTTGGTAGAGATACGGCATAGCCAAAGTTGGATACGGAGAACTAGGGGATGAGATGTATCAAATTTTCGTATAGCCTGTAGAGCACTAAGGGAGTCTGAGACTACTACATATGATGACACAGGCATAGATGCGATACTAATAAGTGCTGCAAGAATGGCATACAGTTCAGCAGTAAAAATACTAGCTGAAGATAGTAAATGCCCCCGCACGACGCTGTCAGGAAACACTGCTGCGAATCCGACGCCGTCTGAAGACTTAGAGCCATCTGTGTACACAGCGGTGGCATGAAAAGGGGAGGGGAAGTGATAAAGGAAAAAGAGAGGGGGGAAGCCACCGGGGGGCATTTGAGTTTTTCGAGCAAGGGGAGGGGAAAAAGAACGGGACCCGAACAGCTGGAAACTTCCCGGGGGGGGTTAAGGGAAAAAGTGAGATGCTACATAAAACATAAAAAGGGGGGGTAACTGAAGGAAGCCAAGAGTAAATGTGGGTAAAAGGGGAAAAGGGATGGAGCAAACGGGGGGCGGGAACGATTAAAGAATGTTCCCCTAATATGGGTGACCTTTCCCTAAAAAGGGGAAAGGATTGTGTAGACCCGGTGAAAAGGTACAAAAGTAGGGGAAGGCAATGGGCCCAGGGCCAAATCAGACAAGGAGGGAAAACATTCGTTCTGTATAGGGGCTCTAAACAGGGAAAAAAGAGTAAAAAAAAGCCCCAAAGGCCCAAAAACCCGGTAACCCTTTGGGTGATGGATAATTTAAAAGGCTTAGAGAGAGTAGCTGGGGGAGGCCGCGGAAATTAAATCTGGTCCCCCAATAATCGAGTTTCTTTTTAAAAACGAGGGCTGAATGTAGGCGAAGCAGATTTTCGACGATCACCCTCCCCGGAAAGATGAAAAGGGTTTTTTAAGAAGGTTTACCCAAAACTGCGACAATTCCCTTAAAGAAGGAAAATGTGAGGTTTCCGGGGAAAACCCAACAGTCAAAGAAAAGGCCCCAAAAAAGAAACCTGACTGTATTACGTTCGGGGATACAGGAGCCATAGAGATACAAAGGATGATTGGAGAAAAACAGAGCGTCTAGTGAAAGTAATTTGGTGAGTTTTGGTACTTGAAAATTTAAACCCATGCATGGTGGCCCCAAAGTGGAAACACGGTCAAACCGCATCCTGGAGAGAAATTTGCAATAAGGTGACAGTCAGCACCTGCACAAGCAATAGCGAAGTCATCAACATAGAGTGGTGACCAAATATTGGTGGAAGAACAGAGGCCAAATCATTATAGAAAGGAGAAAAAATGTTGTGCTTAGAACACATCCCTGAGGGACACCTCAGCTTGGACGAAGTCCGGGGAAAAAAACATTATTGACTCGAACACGGAAATGTCTGTCAGTTAAAAAGTTCTTAAGGAAGGATGGTAGATTGCCTCGGAGGCCTAAGGAATGGGCCTGGGCCAAAAATATTATACCTCCAAGTTGTGTCATATGCCCTTCACAAGGTCAAAATATGCATTAACTGAGTGATTATTCGCAAAGCGCATTATGAAACATACGTATCCAAGCGTAGTAAGGGGTCTATGGTAAGAACGAACCCTTACGAAAGCCATATTGACTAGCGAGAGACTGTTGTGTGTCGCAAAATACCACATTAAACGTCGATATTACGAGACGTTCCATCACTTGGCAAACTGCACTAGTAAGAGCGATGGGGCGATAGTGGGAGGCATCATGTCCTGTAGTACCCCGTTTTTGCGGAAAGGGAGAACAAGGCAGATTTCACACTGGGGAAGACCTCCTTGGCCCAAAAAAGATTGAAGAGGTGTAAGAGGACTACAAGGCGACCGATGTAAATGTTGTTAACATACAATATTAATGTCGTCAGGCCCAGCTGCCGATGATCGGCAGCTGATTATTATTATAATTATAATCAAAAAGAAGCGCTAAAGCCACCAGGACTATACAGCGCTGCAGGGTCAGGAAAGGAAGCTAGGGCATCAGGTGGCAAAAGGGAGATGAAAGTAAAGGTTACGGATAACAGCGTGGTAGTGATGGTGAAAGGGTATGGGCCGCAAAGACTGAACTAGAAAGGGCTGATGGAGTGCGAAAAGTATCATCAGCGTTTGTGGAGTTAATCCCGCAAGTCGTTGTCCAAGAAGTCAATGAGAGAGTCAGGATTAAAGGAGGGACCATCAGCAAGAAGGGACTAAAGAGAGAGTAGTAGAACGAAGACGACGTTGGAGTAAATTCTGCGTGCTCGTGATAGAGAGGGCAGTCTAACAGAATTGGCTAATCGATATGGAACTATGACACTGCTCACAAGAGGGACCAGGGTGCCTCCCATTAGATACCCATGAGTAAGAACGAGTGTTGCCAATGCAAGGCGGGAGAGAGTGTCCACCCAACCTCGGCACTGATGACAAGAAGACGGCCAGTAACCTAGCTCGTTTTAATAGAATAAGTTTTGTTACCAGTCAGAGTTGACCAACGTTGTTGCCAACGGGCGAAGGTGGGTAGCTAATTGCAGCAAAATAGTCCAAAATGGAACCCTCGATAGGAAATTGGTAGGTCATGTACTGCTGGACCACGCATCAGTGTTCTGTGCCTGTTCATTGCCCTGTACGTCGACATGACCAGGGACACAACAAAAAACAATATCTTTATGTTTTTGTAGAGATTACGGCGTAGCCGAAAGTGGGGATACGGAGAACTAGGGGATGAGATGTATCAATTTTCGTCTAGCCTGTAGAGCACTAAGGGAGTCCTGAGACTACTACAAATGATGACCCCGGTGAGATCGGATACGAAATAAGTGCGCAAGAATGGCCATATACAGTTCAGCAGTATTTAAAAATGCCTAGCTGAAGATAGTAAATGCCCCCCGTACGACCGCCTGTCCTCGGAACCCACACTGCTGCGAACCCTCCGAACGCAGTCTGAAGACTAGCGCCCATCTGTTAGACAGCCGGTGGCATGCAGAAATGGGAGTGGAAGTATCAAGAAAGAGAGCGGGAAGCCACCGGAGCAGTTGACTTTCGAGCAAGGATTGAGGAAAGAACAGACACCGAACAGCTGAACTTCCCAGGGGGGTAGGGCAAAGTGAGATGGCTACATGAACATAATAAAGGTGGGAACTGAAGGGAAGACTAGAGTGAAATGTAGGCGAGAGAAAAGGGACGAGCAAACTGGGGCGGGCGAACGAATAAAAGAATGTCTACAAATATCGGTGGACCATTCTATAAATTGAAGGATTGTGTAGATCGTGAGAGCGAACATAGTATCGAAGGCACTGGGCATCCCGGCGATCAGACAAGGATGAAATGTGCTTCGTATAGAGGCTCCTCAACAAGGGCAGAGCGAAAAGCACCAAGGCACAAACGTAAGCCGTTGGTGATGGATAGAGTAAGGCTAGAGAGATGTAGCAGGAGAGGCCGCGGAATAAATCTGTCACCATAATCGAGTTTCGATAAATGAGGCTGAATGTAGGAAAAAAAGAAGAAGCAGAGTTCGACGATCAGCTCCCCAGGAAAGATGAGCAAGGTTTTTGAGAAGGTTAGCGCTGTGACAAGTTGCCTTCAGAGAGGTAATGTGAGGTTTCCAGGTTAACCGACGGTCAAAGTAGACAGGCATAGAAACCTGACTGTAATCAACACGTTCGGGGATAACGGGAGCCATAGAGATACAAAGGATGATCGGGAGATAACAGAGCGTGTAAGTGAAAGTAATTTGGTGAGTTTTTGGTACTTGAAAATTTAACCCAGGCATGGTGGCCCAAGTTGGAACCACTGTCGACCGCATGCTGGAGAGAAACTGCAATAAGGTGACAGTCAGCACCTGCACAAGCAATAGGCGAAGTCATCAACATAGAGTGATGACACAAATACTGGGTGGAAGAACGAGGCCAAATCATTTATAGCAAGGAGAAAACGTGTTGTGCTTAGAACACATCCCTGAGGGACACTCTTCACTTGGACGAAGTCCGGGGAAAGAACATTATTGGACTCGAACCACGGAAATGTCAGTCAGTTAAAAAGTTCTTAGGAAGGATGGTAAGTTTGCCTCGATGCCTAAGGAATGGACCTGGGGGCCAAATATTATACCTCCAAGTTGTGTCATCTGCCTTCTCAAAGGTCAAAAAATATGGCAATAACTTGTGATTATTCGCAAAGGCATATACGAACTACGTATCCAGCGTAGTAAGGGGTCTAATGGAA